GAATGAGTATGAGTACTTATGCTTACAGAATCTTTTTGGATGTTGAAGATACTGCCACCCAAACAGCCCTGACACTACTGTGTAAAAAGAAACGATTTGATTATTTTTCCAGATTACTCAGAATCAAAAGACTTGGGTTAAGCAAATAAATTTCTCTGTTTATCTCTACTGACAGCACAAAAAAGTGGATATAGTTATTCTATAAGACCATCAATTAATCATTACTTCCAAAAGATCACTTTGTATTGTAATGTTTATCTGGAGAAAATGTGGCAAAGAAAAAAAAAGTAGTACAGAATTAAAAGAGTTGTGTTCAAATTTACACTCAAAAAGAGTTGTGCTTAAATTTTTACTTAATGCTTTATTTCTGCATTCTTTTTTTTTGGGGGGGGGGAGTCTGGTCGTGGGGCCTGAACTCTGGGCCTGGGCGCTGTCCCTCAGCTTTTCAGCTCAAGCTAGCACTCTACCACTTGAGCCACAGTGCCACTTCTGCCTTTTTTTTTTCTGCTTATGTGGTGCTGATGAATTGAACCCAGGGCCTCATGTATGCAAGGCAAGCGCTCTACCACTGAGCCACCTTCCCAGCCCCTATTTCTGCATTTTTTAACCATCACTGGCAATTTATAATTTACATTTTGTTTTGAGGTCAATCATTAGTTATGAGGAGACACGAGAACAAATGTTTAGCACAAGACTATTATGTCAATGAATTAAGGCCCAATTCAAGATGAAAAACACAAAGCTATGCTATAGAATCCCAATGTTTTTGTTTGTTTGTTTGTTTTTGGTCAGTCATGGGGCTTAAACTCTGGGACTGGGCACATCCCTCATCTCTTCACCTCAAGGCTAGCGCTCTACCATTTGAGCCACAGCACCACTTCCAGTTTTCTGGTGGTTAATTGGAGATAAGGGTCTCACAGACTTTCCTACCCAGGCTGGCTTTGAACCAGGATCCTCAGATCTCAGCATCCTGAGCACCCAGGATTACAGGTGTGAGCTACCGGCATCCAGCTAAATCTCTACTTTTTAATCTCGTCGTGGAGTACACAGAGGGAGGGAAAATGTTCCCTCTACCCCATGGGAGTTCAAAGACCAAGAATGACATAAAGCTTACTTATCTTACATCCCATTTACAAAAAAAAAAAAAAAGAGAAATCAGAATAGAACAACAAAGAAATAAAGCTGACAGCAGGCAGATTAACAGGACAACAGGCATATGTATAGGAAGAAAACTAACACCCCCAAATCCAGTGAGATTGAGAAATTTACACAGCATACCTTCTTCACAGATGAGAAGGAAAGGAAATGATTCTGGAGAGAGGTAAATAGGCCCAAAGAACACATGTTAGTCTGTGACAAAGGCTGTGTGAGTGTGGTGTAGACCTCAGTGCTTCCTGTCATCTGAGCTGATGCCCACTGGTTCATGATATTCCCAGACCCACCACTAACCTCATCTTGGAGGTTTCGTCTTAAGGTAGATATAAGGAGTTCAGAGAAAGCTCCTCTTAGCATTTGCTGCTCCCCAAGGGCTTCAGTTTGAAGTTACTGGTAAACTAACGTGGCATATATTGGGATGGCTTATCCTCAACTCTTCAAGTGCAATGCATAATAAAAATATTTAAGATAAAGCTTGTTCTTGAGGCTCTTATACTGGCATAGGTAAAATAAACTGGTATTCAATATATCTTTTTCTAATGAAAATGACAAACCTGATGGGTACTGGTGGTTCACACCTGTAATTCTAGCTACTCAGGAGGCTGAGATGTGAGGGTCAAAGTCAGCCTGGGAAGGGGAAGGAAGGTCTGTAAAACTCTTATCTCCAGTTAATCACCAGAAAACCAGAAGTGGAGCTGTGGCTCAAAGTGGTAGAGAGTCAGGCTTAAGCAGAAAACAGACAGCACCCAGGCCCTGAGTTCAAGCCCCATGACTGATGGGGAAAAAAGACAAACCTGATCCACATTCATACTTTGAATAAAAAAGGTAGAAAGGGACAAGTTAATTTCTAGGCATTTTTTTTTTTTTGGTAGGTCGTGGGGCTTGAACTCTGGGCTTGGACGCTGTCCCTGTGCTCTTCAGCTCAAGGAGAGTGCTCTACTGCTTGAGCCACAGCACCACTTCCAGTTTTCTAGTGGCTTATTGGAGATAAGAGTCTCACGGACTTTCCTGCTGGGGCTGGCTTTGAACTGCGATCCTCAGATCTGAGCCTCCTGAGTAGTTAGGATTAAAGGTGTGAGCCACTGGTGCCCGGTGGACAAGTTAATTTCTAAAGTGAGAAATTACAGAGGCCTTTCAGCTTTCCATACTGGATTATACAAGCAGGTGTCATTTTTGTAATAAGGGAAAGAAACCAACATCAAAATATATGTTTACAATTAAATACTGCAAGAGAATAAATGAATATAAAATCTTTGTTGGTTTAGGGTATTGATGATTTGTGGGTATATTTCTTAAGGTTATTGTGTTGTTTTAACTGAATTTAATGATAGGCTTAATTCAGCAATCAAAGAAATTTTGAGTTCTTTGTTTTGAATAACCTGCTTTATTATATACTAGGAGTAGGGGTCTCATTGTCATTTTTATTTCTAGCTAAAGAGCAATGCTATGAAAAAATTAAGATGTATTCTCTACTTTGTTTGCAATGTATTTTTCCAAATTCCTATCTGATGCCCAATCTCCATAGGGAATAGTAGAATAAATCTCTTCTCAGTTTACTTACCATAGTTCCCTCCCTCCCTCCCTCTTTCTCTTTCCCCTTCCTTCCTTTCCCTTCCCTTCCCCCCTCCCTCCCTCCCTCCCTTCCTCCCTTCCTTCCTTTCCTTCCTTCTCTCCCTCCCTTTCTTCCAAGAACTGAGATTTTCTCTCTCCCTTCCTAGTACTGAGATTTGCACTTAGGGCATTGCGCTTGCTCAGCTTGCATGCTCCATTGGTGCTCTACCACTTGAGTCACACCTTCAGCCTCACTTTTTGCTTGTTGTTTTGGAAATAGTCTTGAAGACTTTTCTGCCATGGCTGAAAAGTCAACTGTGAACCTCTGGATCTCAGCTTCCTGAGTAGCTAGGACTGTAGGCACAAGCCATTGGCACTCAGCTACAATGCTCTATTTCTTCATCGTATTGTTAAGGTAGCTCTTCTATATCATTAAAATACAATATGGTCATTTATAGCTCCTTAATTTCCAGATGCTTTTATGACATTAGTATATTGTTCTAAAATCAAACCAATTTCTATATTTTAGAAAAGCAGCAGCAGACTTGACCTGCTTGTTTTAAGAAGGCCCAGCCTGTTCAGATGGAAACAGACCTTTCTTTACTCCAGCACGGCCTAGTTACATCATGGACCATTTTTCAGATTCTGAAATCTTTAGTTTCACTTCAGGCTGAATCACTCTTTTCATAACTGTGTGATAAAGACTGCGATCTCCGGGCTGGGAAGGTGGCTCAGTGGTAGAGTGCTTGCCTTGCATGCTGGAGGCCCTGGGTTTGATTCCTCAGCACCACATAAGCAAAAAGAAAAAAGCCGGAAGTGGCAACTGTGGCTCAAGTGATAGAGCGCTAGCCTTGAGCTGAAGAGCTGAGGGACAGTGCCCAGGCACAGAGTTCAGGCCCCCTACAACCGGATCCCCCCCCCAAAAAAAAAGACTGCGATCTCTGTCGCTTTTCTTATTTAATACAATTCAACTGTCACTTTAAGTGAAAAAATTCTGACTGGAGACAGAAATTCCACCTTAATGAAAGCTTATGTCCTTCAGGCCATGAACAAGGGGTGTCTGCTATTTGCTATCTCCATTTAAAAATAAAATTATTTTGTAAAGTTAATTGTGAGGTTCGAAGTATCCTTTAAGCACTATTAAATTCCTTTACTCATTCTGTAAGACAATGGGGGGGGGGGGAGTTCTTTCTGAGCTATTCCGTTGCCCTACAATGGAGAACTAAGCCAGCCAAAAACAGCCTTGATTTTAATTATGGCCTGATTTCACATTTCATTTCCATGGTAGTTCAGATTTAAGACTTCAAGAACATTCCCTAACATTTAAGCACTTCTGTTTCCTAAAGTTACATTCATCAGGCTCCTAAAGGGTAGTATATAGTAAAGAATGAGGTCTAGCATATGGAACTGGGGAGAAATAGAGATCCACACACTCATACACCTGCCATACAATGGAGGACATACAATAGAAGTAAAAAGAAGGGGATGAAACAAAGTCAAGGGGGCCAGAGTGGTTCCTTCCATGTAGCCAGTATGGTAGCATGACACAATCAAGAGTGATAGAATTAGCAGGAAATGTATGCGGACACAGAGTGTGGCTTTACTTAGTGTGGGGTCACGTAGATTTAAAATGATTTTAATCTGGGTAACGGTGGTCCATACACCTGTAATCCTAGCTACTGAGGAGGCTGAAATCTGAGAATCATGGTTTGAAGCCAGCCTGGGCAAGAAAGTCCATGGAACTCTTACCTCCAATTAACAAGCAAAAAGCCAGAACTGGAAATACTACTCAAGTGGTGAAGAACCAGGCCTGAGTGGAAAAAACTAAAAGACAGTTCTCATACCCCAAGTTCAAGCCCTAGTACTAGCATAAAAATGAATGAATAAATAAAATGACTTTAAATACAATGACCTGTTAGTATAGCTTCTGAAGTTCGAAAAAAAAGTTTAAAAATAGCATTTTTCTTACTTATATCTAAAAGTTTAAGTTTAAATCCTATTTTGATGAGATTCTGAGAAATTACTGGGAAGAAAAATAGTTTCATTTAAGTAGAGACTCTTCCTTTTGATTGTGCAGCAGATCAAATTGTCTCTGAAATTATTATTTTTAACAACTTAAAATACAAAATTCTAATGCTATTTGGGATATTCAGTTGGAGAACTCACTTAATGTGAATGGGTAAGTGTTCAAAGGCAAATTAAATTAGTTTGTATTATTATTTTAGCTGCATCTTAATGCAATGGAGGCAAAAACTCTAACAAAGACTTCATAAAAGAAAATGATGCAGACCAACCTTTTATTGCACCCACAATATTTTGGTCTAGTCCTTTCCGGTTGTCATTGAGTCCTCTTTTCCTCTTCCCATTGGGTAAGGAGTTAGCCAAAGTCTTGTCATCAAAAAATGCACACACCAGTTTTCTAAACAGAAGGCTTCCTGAGCGAGTGTAGTTTGATAATATAGAGTCCAGCTGAGATTTGGGCATAAACACATCAAAGCCTTCAGCAAGTTGCACTTCTGGCTACCAAAAGAACAGAAATAGTTCATTAAAAGCAAGCTTTGAGGCATTTGACTTTGGGCATAAGTGTATCCAAAGTATTACTGGCTATTGAAATGTCCACACCATGTGTACAGATACAGTCTCAGTGTTTTGGTACCAGGATTTGCAATCTATGAAAACAGTGACCAATTACAATTCACAAAACAAGATGGTCTCGTTCCAATGTTGAGTCATATCCAACACACTGAAAAAGTGGTCCTGTTCTTATGGCTAAGAAGGCTGGATAATCACATGTCATATATACACCTAGGAGGACCTGACCCTACGGTGTGGAAATCCCTCACGCAGGAATGAAGGCCCAAAGACATGAGACCCAAAATTACAGCTCATGTCTATAATTCTAGCAAGTCAGGAGGCTGAGATCTAAGAATTGCAGTTCAAAGCCAGTGCAGGCGAGAAAGTCCGTGAGATTCTTATCTCCAATTAACCACCAGAAAACTGGAAGTGGCGCTGTGGCTCAAAGTGGTAGAACACTAGCCTTGAGCAGAAAAGCTCAGGGACAGTGCTTAGGCACTGAGTTCAAGTCCCACAACCACCAAAACTTTAAACAAACAAACAAACAAACTCAGATGCACTCAGCATATTACCATTTATAGATCACATTTTCATTCCACAAGGGCCTGGCTCTCTCTACGATGTTAGTAGCTGTTCACTGTGGAGCTATTTCTCCCCCCATGCCAATGGAAAGCACATAAATAAATGATACAAAAATAAATATAATAAGCAAGTTTTACAGGCATTTTCAACTCACTCCCTACTCCCTACTTGTGGGAAGAAGAGCTAAAGCTACAATCTAGAAAAGCCTAGAAAACTAGTTCCCTAGGCACACAGTTTCCCTGTCGGGGATCTCCTGTTATAAAAAGTCATACCAGATGCCTTTCAACTTGGACTCTGTTGCAGTTACAAACCCAGAAACATGCTACAGCTCCAGCAGCACACCACCTGTATTTACAATTTGCCTATTCATATTGTGACCCATTTGCGTGCTTTTCCTAAGTCCTTCCTGCCCATGGAGGCAGCTACTCATTCCCCATTACTACTAGTCATTTGACATAGGCACCTAGTTATCGTTATTACACTGCATTTTGTTATTTCTAGGGTCTGGTGCATAGAAGGTACTCAATATAATGCTTACTGAATAGATCAAATTTCATTAATCATATGACCTGAACTACTCAACTATTTGCTGTTGGTTTTTACACAAACACAGTAGCTTTACAATGAAGAAATGAAATTGGTAATATTTATGAGAAAAAAAGCCCAGAATGCCTCACTCAGAAATAAGCTTCACACACTATCTAAACTCATTCTACAATCCCATCTTGGTCACTTTTGTGACTATTTGATACTATTAAATCACACTAAATATGTGAAGATCTGGAGTTTGTTTCCCTCCTGTGTTCTTCTGCTTTCAAAGTGCCCAGCACACCAAGCCAAAGTGGAGAGCTCTCTGTGACGGTCTGTTTGGGTGACTGAGGAAAGCTGGCTGGGTCTTCTCCCTCCAAAATGGAATTTGGGACTCAGATTATCCAGAAAGTCATCTCATTCCTAGGCTTCACTTTGCCATTCAATGTTTGGATTATAAATACTTGGTAAATATCACTGTGAAAACAGTGCTGTCAGATTCTCCCCGACTTTTGTGTCTTGCTGCTTTCTGGCTAAAAGGTCTGTAGTGGAGTTTGACAGGAGCCGGAGGCTGAATACCTAAGTCATAGCGCAAGGCTGGTACATACCAGGCACTAGAGGAAATGCCTGTCAAATGACTCGATGTGGTCGTATAAGGACAGAAAGAGTCATAGCATGAGAATCGAGGGAAGTTCTACTCAGAAATGCAATTTTATCTTGCTCATTTTCTAGATGAGCTGGTTTTTGTTAAGTGCTCTTATATTATTTGGAAGCCAATAGAAAAGTGTATCTCACAGCTATTTGCAGGGCTACGGTGGTACAGAGTTGGAAAATTGCAAAAGGAAGGAGAAAGGACTTAGCCCAGCCTCACAACACTTGCTTTGATCCTGACACCACTCACCAAGTCTTAAACTGGCCACCTGTCTCCGGAGACACCCAGTGCTTTCCCTGTGGTCCTCCCAGGAGGACTTGGACCCTGCTTTGAGTGTTACTAACCTAAATGAGCCATCAAGCAGAGCTAGTCACTCCCTCATTCACATATTCAGGGGATTTTCTACAAAACATGTCCACTGCGCTTTCCCCACTGCAGTTATTGAGTGGAAAGTTTGGTTTCTCATTAAGATGATTACTCTTTGGTATTTGGTATGTTGAGCACCCAGTTGGTGTCTAATAAATATGTGTTAGAATCAACAGAACACAACCTAGGAATTCACTCAAAATAACTGGTGCAGATTTTGAGCTCTTCTGTCCTGGTATAAAGGCAGTGGCTATGTGTCTCCCTTGAGGTGGATGAGTCTACCAGTGTGCTTGAACAGTCATGGGGTGACCCCAAGAGGGGAACACTGGGTCAACATCTACTTACTAGGAGCGCTCAATGGGGAACAATTTCAAGGCTGGCTCTGTACTGAAACTAGACATAAACATCTACATAAATTACAAGTCAAGGATGACCACAGGAGAGGTACAAAGCAAGTTCTCTTGCTGTTAGCTTTAGGCTAGACAGGCTCCTGCAGAGGAGAGGGGACTCCAGCAACTCAGAAGAGGATTGGACAGCAGTTTGCTGTGGTAGTGGTGCATGTGCCAGTACTGGGGCTTGAACTAAGGGCCAGGGCATTACCCTTTGGCTTTTTTGCTCCGAGGCTACTACCCGAGTCACAGCTCCACTTCCAACTTAACTGGAGATAAAGAGTCTCACAGACTTTCCTGCCTAAGCTGGTTTTGAACTGTGATCCCAAGATCTCAGCCACTTGAGTAGCGAAGTACAGGCATGTGTCATCAGCACTGGTTTGGACAGCATTTCAGCAGAGCCTTGGAGGTAAGATTTATGAGACAGCAGTACAGATGCTGTTTGAGACATGTGCTGTGACCCCCTAAAACTGAACACTTGGGAGATGTCTGTTGTGCTGCCTTCCTTCAGCATGCAGCCCTGTGATTCCCAAGATGCCACCCTGGGCTAAAGCTCTTGCTGCCTGCTCTTTTCTATTCCTGGAGCAATACTGCTGTTTTGACCTGCTCTTACCATGTCAGGGAATGGGAATTTAACCACTTGCAAGCACCTTCCAAAGGAATAAAGAATCTGAATAGCCTGTGTCAATGGCCAGTGGTAGCTGCAAAGACAGTGGCACTCTGGCACTCCCTACGTTCTTCTCCCACCTCCCATGGGGGTTTCTTAGCAGGCAGTGCCTGAGCACTGAGGTATGATTACCAGGTGCCACAAAGCATCATCAGTCCCTTAAAAAAAGAAAGGGAGTACAGAAAACATCATGTCCATCTTGTTTTCACTATGAAACTTATGGCTTCTTCTATTTTATATGTAGTTCATTACTACTTTATAGTCACTTATAGCTATTTAAAAGAAGACTGAAACTTTCTGTACTTGTATGACTACATTTTTTCCTTTTTATTGTTCATTGTTTGGGTAAGACTTCTCTGTTTACTAATGATAGTTATGGAAAAAAATTGCTCCAACCATGTATATCATTCAAAAAACTAGACTTCTCTTGACAGGCCCCACTATTTGATATTTAAACCAATGTTGTAGCTAGCTACAGCATTAATTTATGGAATATGATTACAACCAATAGGATGTAACCTTTAAATGACACATGTTACAGAACTGACACGCGCAGAGTCTGAGATCCCACTCTGGGGCTGGATCTGCAGGTATGTCCTGCAGACTATAGGTATGCCAAGGTATCTACAAGTGCGGAACTCTCCTCCTTCAATCTTATTACCTTCTATCACAGTGAAGTTCTATAGGACAAACTATACAGTACTGATGGCTCTTGAGAATATCTCTAGATTCAGGCCTGCCGCAGCAACTGTTTTGTTTCTTTTGTTTTGTTTCTCATTCTTGCTCTCCTTTTACTTAGAAGTGCTTGGGATTAATGTCTAGTTTGGATGAAGCACCCAGAAAATCCCAAATCCCTCTGAGCAGATCGTATTACAAACTAAAGAAAAACCAAAGTAAGATACTTTCAGGATCATAGAACTGAAGCATGAAGATGGTAGAGTCTGGAAGTGTAGCTGGCCAGGGCAATCTCAGATGGGCTCAACACCGAAACCTGAAAGACAACTAGGGCTGGGGTCGGGGTGGGAGGCAGAGGGGAGGGGGGGGGGTTGAAGGGTTGAGGTGGGTTCTGCTGAATATGGATAACTGATTGCACCCTGAAAACCTTAAAACAGGATTGGTAACAACGCTTAAAGGATGTGAATTTAGTCTTATTATGATCCCTCATGCATACTTACTATAAAAATTGTAGCTTATTAGGTGCATTTCTAAGAAAATGAGCTTTACCTTATGAAAAAGCATTTTTTTAATGTGCAGAAACCCATAGTTGATTTTGCTCGTAAATGTGATCTCCTCCTGTCTGAAAACAACTAACATTGTTTCCTATAAATCAGGTCTGTTCTAGGCAGACTTATTTTTACCATTTACTAAATGCTATGCAAAGAACTTGGCTAGTGGACATATGAGGCCAAGACCAATAGGCTGGCCTGTGATGGTGGTCCCAGCTGTTAATGTTAAGCAGCCTCGGACAGATGTGGCCTGCAGATGTGGCCACGCTGAGAATCCCAGAGTTGGAGCAGAAGCCTGCTGGATGTGCTCCATCAAGATCAATACAGTAAGCGGAATTCTTCTATTTTAAGTGAAAAGTGCCCATCCAAGTTCTATGAAAAATTAAGTATAATAATTTATATGCTAGCATGCATTTAATGTTGGATAGGATAAAAAATTATAAGAAATCATTAAAGATGCAATTCTTTACAGATGATTTTGATAAAGTTTCAGTAGAATAATGTAATTTTAGAAAAGACAATACAATGTGGTCCCT